GATAGATAGATAGATAGATAGATAGATAGATAGATAGATAGATAGATAGATATACATACTGTAGATCAGGGGGTCTTCAAACTGGACAGCTTGAAGACTTGTGGACTTCAACTCCCAGAATTCTTTCTCTTCCAGTCATGTTAGCTCAGGAATTCTGGGAGTTGAAGTCCACAAGTCTTAAACTTGCCAAGTTTGAAGACCCTTGGTTTAATTCAAGGTAGTCCTCGACATACTACCACAATTGAGACCAGCATTTCTCTTGTTAAATGAAGCAGCTGTTAAGTGAATTTTGCCGCTTTTTACGACCTTTCCTGCTATAGTTTTTAAGTGAATCATTTAAGATCACATGAAGTCTTAATGCCACTTTATAATGCCTTAGTAAGGCCATACTTAGAACACTGCATCCAGTTTTGATCACCACACTATATAAAAAGACGTTGAGACTCTGGAAAGGGTGCAGAGAAGAGCAACCCGGATGATGAGGGGACTGGAGATTAAAACATTTGAAGAACGGCTGCAGGAACTGGGCTTGGCTAGTCTAGGGAAGAGAAGGACCAGGGGAGACATGATAGCAGTGTTCCACTATCTGAGGGGCTGCCCCAAAGAAGAGGAGGGGGTCAAGCTATTCTCCAAAGCACCCGAGAGAAGGAGAAGAAGCAATGGGTGGAAACTAATCAAGGAGAGAAGCAAACCTAGAACTAAGGAGAAATTTCCGGACAGTTAGAACAATTAATCAGTGGAACAACTTGCCTCCAGAAATTATGGATGTTCCAACACTGGAAGTTTTTAAGAAGAGATTGGATATCCATTTGTCTGAAATGGTATAGGGTTTCCTGCCTAAGCAGGGGGTTGGACTAGATGACCTCCATGGTCCCTTCCAACTCTGTTATTCTATTCCACTCTAAATTCTGGGACTTGCACTCCGTCCACCTTGAAGCATACCGGCTGGGGAATTCTGGGAGTTGAAGACCACCAATCTTAAATCACGCCGGCTGGGGAATACTGGCATTTTTAGTCTCTCCATCCTAGATCAAGCTGGCTGGGCAATTCTGAGAGTTGGTCCACTTAATCTTAAATCTGCCAAGATTGAGAAAATCCTGTTCTGGACAGCATATAGGAAACAAGGTGGACAAGGTCTCCATCCCTCTTTAATTTCCCCCTGTTATATCTCAAGCTTCACACACACACACACACAAACACACACACACACACACACACACACACACATTTCCTTCTTACTCATCAATGGCTTGTGGCTGACCGGCGCATCTCTGGGTCCCCGTGGAGCCTTCTCGATTCTCCAGAATATGCTGGCCTGAAGTCACACAACAAGGCACAAGTAAGGATGACAATTATCAGGGAAACAAACTGCTTTTTGCAAAGCAAAAACAGCCTATATCCCAACTTCTGCCGTTTCCAGGGAGTAACGAGGCAGAGAAAAAGACTCAGCTTGAAAAAAATTAAAAGCTACATGGACTGAAGTTTGTGATGCCACCCAGGTGGCGAATGAAAAACCAGCAGGAAAAGATCTCAGAGGAAACCAAGAAAAGGCCTTGAATGATAAGATTTTCTCTGACTGATGATGTTTTTCCCTCCTACTTGAAGTTGTGTTGGAAACGCTAAGGCTGGGTTTTCCCGGTGGCAGCCATTTTAAGACGTGTGGACTTCAACTCCCAGAATTCCCCAGCCAGCACACATCACAAAATGGCTGCCGCTGGGAAACACTGCTCTAGATTAAAGGGCCAAAAAATGTTAAGCTGGATTAAGGCAGCTCGAACCTCATCAAAGACCATCAACCCACAGGGATCCATCCAGGAATCGATCCACTCCTGCCACTCACCTTCGTGGGAGAGTGCTTCCAGGATGTTGTTACAAGCCGATGCCAGATTGGCGATGGAGTCCCACTCGTCTTCCAGGGATTCCCCAGCGTCAGAGAGAACTGTGGCAGGAAGAGAGAAGAAAAACCTTCACCGCCAAGTGACTTGGGCTGGGAGGGATGGGGTGACCCCCAAGGAGATTTCCCCCTTTTGGGGGAAGGGGAAAAGGAAGGAAGGAAGGAAGGAAGAGGAAAGGAGAAATGGAGGAGATTAGGAAGGAAGGAAAAGAAAGAGAAAGAATAGGAGGAAGGAAGGGGAAAAGGAAGAGGAGGAGAGAGAAGAAGGAAGGAGAAGGAAGAGAGGAAGAGAGGGAAGAAGGAAGGAAGGAAGGAAAGAAAGAAGAGGAAGTGAGGGAGGATGGAATGAAGGAAGGAAGAATAAGGAAGAGTGAGAGTAAAGAAGGAAGGGAAAGAAAGAAAGGAAAGAAGGGGAAGAGGAAGGAAGAAGAAAGAGGAAGAGAGGGAGGGAGGAGGGAAGGAAGGGAAAGTAAGACATGAAAGAAGAGGAAGTGAGGGAGGATGGAATGAAGGAAGAGGAAGAGGAAGAGGGGGAGGAAGGAAGAATAAGGAAGAATGAGAGTAAGGAAGGAAGGGGAAGGAAGAAAGGAAAGAAGGGGAAAAGGAAGAAGGAAGAGGAAGAGAGGAAGGAAGAATAAGGGAGAGTGAGAGTAAGGAAGGAAGGAAAAAGAAGAAAGGAAAGAAGGGGAAAAGGAAGAGGAAGGAGGGAAGGAAGAAGAGGAAGAGAGGGAGGGAGGAAGAATAAGGAAGAGCGAGAGTAAGGAAAGAAGGGAATGGAAGGAAAGAAGGGGAAGAGGAAGGAAGAGGAAGGGAGGAAGCAGAGAAAGGGAAGTAAGAAAGGAAACAGAAAGGGAAGGAAGGGGAATGGAAAAGGAAGGAGGGGGAAGGAATCAATCCTCAACACGACCACTTTGGAGAATCCTGACTTCCGCTCCAAACATCCCCATTGTAGCATGTTGTGCACCCACACTTTACACAGAGAGAGAGAGAGAGAGAGAGAGAGGGAGGGAGGGAGGGAGGGAGGGAAGGAGAGAGAGAGAGAGAGAGAGAGAGAGGAGAGAGGAGAGAAAAGCCAGTGTGGGAACTTCCTTACTTTTGGTGATGGAATTCCGTAGCGAAAGCGTCCGGGGCAAAAACTTATTGCTGTCGCTCGCTTCCAGAGACGGCAAGGCCTTCTCTCCCGGTGGTGGAGAAGACGGAAAGCCTTTGGCCTCCTGAGCTACCAGGCCAGGCGTGTGATGGTTCACTACCGCCTCTCTCGGATGGTCCTGCAAACGCAACGAAGGGAGAAAGGAGGGGTAGGTTAGGTCTGACATGGATGGTTTGGCCCAGAGAGAAATCCGCCATTTTGGAGAAACTGCCAAGTTTCTCCCCCGACATCATCGTCCCCGGCCCGGTCCCAGCATGCTCTACAAAAAGGTAGGGACTACAATGCCCAGAGTTCCCAGCTGGGTCTCGAGATTCATGGGAAATGTTACTCCTGGCAGCTCTTCCAGGTAGATTATACAGGGCGTTCTCAACTCATGACCACAATGTAGCCCACTTTTTGTTGGTGTTAAGTGAGAAATTTGTTAAGTGACCAAAAATTCAGGTCCTGGTTGTTTTGGTACATTGAGGATTCTCTGCATTGCCATTTTGTGAGGGTAGAAATTGCCTATCAGGGGAATAAGCATCTTCATGCTAGGTTGATTCTCTTGGGACAGGTGTCGTGCCCCTGTCAAGAGTCTGAATCCGAGGAGGAAGACGAACAGCTGACAGGGAGCGGGAGTGTGGATCCCTTGACTGTGGAGGAAAGTGGGGAAGGGCAAAGTCCGGCTGGGCAGAGGTAAAACGAGGGAGAGGGAGTTCAGAGGAAGATCCAGGCCCACCCCCTCTTCATCCTAGGATACGCAGGGAGGAACGGAGAAGAGAGCAACGTGGGTTGCATGGCTTACAGGGAGGAAAGGGCCCTGATTCCCTTCATTAGCCACAGCTGGGAAGACAGTTGGTAAGAAAGGCAGCCTGACTTTATCCTGTGTTGTTGTGGCTTATCTGTGTTCCTGGCATCTTCCCAACTATATGAGTTTTGCCAAACTAATTACTTCAGTTTGGCTTGTTTGGACTTTAAATTACAGTTGTGTTGCTCATGTTTTGGACTTGATTCTCTGCAGCCCAAGGCTGTTCCTGGGAGAGTTTTTCTCCAGCCAGAAGGTAACCAGGACCTTGGGGGCAAAGTTGGAACTGATAAAGGGACTCTTATTGCTTATCTGGCTGTATTGCCTTTGTGCCACGCCCCTTTGGGTCATCATAATAGGTGTGGTCTGAGAATTTCCTGCATTCTCATGGGGTCAGACAAGATGGCCTTTGAGGTCCCCCCCTCGACACCCAATTCTATGAAACACTTACCAGATCTCGATCCGGGAGGGCTTTGGGAGTGGTTGCCAAGATTATGTCTGGAGGAGGATTGGAGGTAAGAGAGAAAGTTTTGGGTGGAATCCTGCAAAGACAAGAAATACCGTGTTCCTCCAACAATACGACCTCCCCCAATAGGAAGACCCAGCATGTTTTCTAGGCATAAAATGAAATTAAGCCCCTTCCCCCCAAATTTAGGCCTATTTTAAAACATGCAAAATGGGGGGAAGGGCGGGGAGACTTTCCGTTAGGAACCGCCCCGCGGGCAGGAATTCCTCACCACCAGCTGCTCCTAATGGGCGATCATGGCAGAGCGCGGAGAGCTCCCTACTCCTGCCAAGCACCTTTGCGGCAGACCCAAGGCCTTCAGCGCCCGCCGCTGTTGATTTCCCTTTTGCCCATGCCTCCGCCACGTTTGGAACTGCCACTTCCACATTTGGAGCACCACTGCTGTTTGGAGCACCGCTGCCATTTCTGCATTTGGAGCTGCCGCTGCGTTTGGAGCTGCCGCTTCCGCATTTGGAGCACTGCCACTGTTTGGAGCACCACCGCCATTTGGAGCGCCGCTGCCACTCCAAACACGGCGGCAGCTCCAAATGTGGAAATGGCAGCTCCAAACATGACGGCGGTGCTCCAAATGGCGGCGGCACTCCAAATGGCAGCGGCACTCCAAACACGGAAGCGGCAACTCCAAACATTGCAGTGGAATGGGCAGAAGGGAAAGGAACAGCGGCGGGTGCCAAAGGTCTTGGGTCTGCAGCAAAGGTGTTTGCTGGGAGTAAGGAGCTCTCTGCGCTTCGCCATGATCACCCGTTAGGAGAGGCTGGGGGCGAGGCTGCCCGCGGGGCGCTCTAGATGAGGATGCAGGGGGGGGCGATTAAGTCACCACCGAAAAGACGGCCTAGCCGTTTTTGGGGGGCTCAAAAAAATATAAGACCCGGCCTTATTTTATGAGAAACACGGTATTTGGTTATGAAGGAAGGAATAAGGAGCAGAAATCAACTGAGTCAGACTTCACAGGGGAAATCTGTCAATATTAGAACAGAAACAGTCCTTGTGTGAACAGCTGTGTAGAGTTGAAGACTGATTGCTTGCCTGGTATTTGCCTAACACATGTATGTATGTATATACTGTAGTAGTCTTGTATATAAACCACTGTTAAAAGACAAAGTCTCTGTGTTTTGCTCCTGGATTGTCTCACAATAGTAATTACGCTGTAAACACACTTAACAATTTCACAGAGGGGAGAAAGATTAGGCTCAACAACATTCTTTTCACAGAGTCAAGGACAAGTTACCCTGCACCTGGAAAGGAGTGGCTGGAGGAATGTCTCCAGTTGGGACGATGGGTGACTGGGCCATGTGATGCGCTGATGGGTGCAGGGGATGGGTTTGTGATTTTCAATTGGCGAGGGGAAACCCGGAACTCTCCGATTCAGGTTTTCCTAGATGTGCCACTATGACTTCTTCAATAAATTCTTACTTCTGAGTACTGAATGATTACGGGAACCTTTGCCAGACCAATTCTCGAATACAGCTCATCTGCCTGGAATCCACACTGTGGATTCCACACTGGACATGAATACAACTGAGGGAGTCCAGAGGCGTTTCACGAGAAGAGTCCTCCACTCCTCCGCTTGCAGTAGAATACTTTATGCCACCTGGCTTGATATTTTGGACCCGGACAACTTAGAATTATGCCGCCTTCGGTCTGACACAAAATTGTCTGCTACAACATCCTACCTGTCAAAGACTATTTCAGCTTCAAGCGCAATAACACACAGGCAAACAATAGATATAAACTCAAAGTAAACCCCTCCAAACTGGATGGCAGAAAATACGACTTCAGCAATAGAGTGGTCAACACCTGGAACTCACTACCTGACTGTTGTTCCATCCTCAAACGCTCCTAAAACTTTAACCTTAAACTGTCTACCGTGGACCTCGCTCCATTCCTAAGAGGTCTGTAAGAGGGTGTGCATTAGCGCACCAGCGTGCCTACCATCCCTGTCCTACTGTTCCCATTTATTATGTATATATACTTATACCTGTTTATACGGTATTTATATGTTTACATGTTGTGTTCATACTTGTTTTATACTTGTTATACTTGTTTTCTCATACATGCTTGACAAACTAAATGGCAGGATTCCAGCAATCCCTTTAATTAAATCATGATTCTCAAGCCAAACTTCAAAAAACTTCAAAGGATTTGTTAGAGGCTACATACTAGCCCTGCACTGTATGGAGCCAACTCTGGCATACATAATTTACTGTCACCTGTGACCCTGTTTCCCCCTCTCGCCCTGGGTGTCTCATAAACTAGATTCTCCAATTGACCACGTTCACAGGCTGGGTGTCATCATTCACATTCTCCAATCATATTTGCAGGCAAAATCTCTGGTAGTTTAGCTACAATCTTTTAAAGATAAAGAGTTGGAATGTACTTTCGCTTCCAAACTGCTGCACTGCTCTCTTTCCTTCCTCCCCCCACCCTTTTTTTTTAATGGCAACTTCTAAAACAGGCATAGGGATGTTTTATGAGTTGACACTAAACTAAATTAAAAAATAAAATAAATAAATAAAGTTTCATAGGAACGCTGACACTTTCGACTCCAGCGATACCACGAGGCAGAAAAGAGAGAAGAAGGACAGAGGCGGAAGCGCCCAGGGACTCTCGGCTAAGATGGGTGATGGCGGCGTGTACGAAGGAGTTGCGACTAAGTTTACGGGGGTTCCTTACGGGTCGGAGGGGGCTGGGGTTTGGTCGCTGTGGCTCTGCAAGAATTCGGTCCTCTCTTCAGCCAAGAGGTGAGGCGCCCCATCCTGCAGGGACAAGGAATGGAGGAGCTGAAAGGTGGCCGGTTTGAAGATCACTTCGCTGGCTGGCCGGGTCAGTTCGGTGTCTCCAACCGGGGGTTCGCTCCTCCGCTTCTCCTGCAGCGATTTCTGGTAGAGCTCGGAGAAACTCCTGTCCAAAGAAAGTGAACATAATTGAGGGCGCAAGTTCACACCACGGGACAGGGAGCGTTTTTACTCCCAGGAAGCTTCCGTGAGACCCAGGAAGGCAAAAAAATGGCAGCACAGGCGGGGCGTGCCCCTTTTTGCCTCCCGGGCAAAGCAGTAAGACAGCGAGGGGGATCCTGGCACAGCTGGCGGTCGGGAGGAAAAAGAAAAAAAGAAAGAAATATCGCTTCAGCCCAACGGTAGCATTTTTTTACTACCGGTTCACTTCAACCGGCCCAAACTGGTGGAATCCCACCGCTGACTGGCACGGATCTGCTCACCTCCTAGGCCTTCCGTTCTCGTCTGGAGGAACAACAGTGATCGTGACTTTTTTCGCCGTCCGCAGGAGTTCAGCGGTCTGGGGGGGCGTCAGGCCGGGCAAGGGTCTTTCGCACACCCGTACCAGTCGGGCCCCGGGCTGGAGCCCGGCTTTTTCCGCAAAGGTGAAGCGTTCCACTTCGGTTACAAACCCTTCGTGGTCCATTTGGAACCCCAGCTGGCCAACGCCGTTCCGCAAGAGGGTCAGTTCCCTGGTCTCGCACCCGCGGGTCACCAGCTGGCAGAGGAAGGCAGGGAGGGGGTTAGATTGGGGTAGATTGCAGAGGCGATACAAAACTATAATGTTCTCATATTTTATTTATCTACAAACTAGCTCGATCCCCGTGCTTCTCTACAAAACGATGTGGTCGGGCTTAGTTTGGGGGGAGGAAAAGAAAGGGAGAAAAAATTCTGCCTCTGCCTACCAGCATCCATCGGTAGTCATCTGGCTAGCGTCCTGTCAGCGTGTGAGAGAGTTGAGGGCTGTTTGGAAACTGAAGCAGTATTTGCTGTGTGAGCAAAGAGACAGCAAGGAGCCTGGGCGTGGCTTAGCTCAACTGTTCTGTACTAAAGCCGCTTGGTGCTGTAAAACTGAAACTCCTCTGCTTGTGTTTTGCATTTGGAAGAGGTTTCTTTTCAGGTGGGGAGGGGGAGTAGAACTCCTTAGCATCAGAGCATGTTAATAATAATAATAATAATAATAATAATAATAATAATAATAATAATAATAATA